TACAGTCCATAACGAACAGTAAATCAACATTTTGAGGGGACGTGTACCTATTTGCCCTTGATATGGATTCAGTTCTTAACTAAATCTGTGCTAAACGCAAGGTTGTTGATTTGCTGCTTTTAAGTTTCACTTCGGCATGTTTCCTTTTCTGTTTTGATACCATGTATTGGTTTTCTTTCCTCTTGCCTTCACCCCGGTTCCCGATGGTCCATGGGGTGAGTCTATACTTACTCTTCATGGGCCGGGAGGTGTTAGTCCCCTCCACCAGGGTATTGGTAGCCAAATGGCAAACTGGACCATTGAGAGTCTGGTCACTGCTGTCCTTGGTATTCCATGTAAAGCCTAAGGAGAGGGGCATCCCATGTAGTGCTGGCAGGTAGCCTCAATCAACGGCCAGTCATCGCTCCAAGTTGTTGACTGGTCCGTGTTTAGTGGTAGGCGGCTAAACGTTGAACGTTTAGCAGAGGGAGCCTTTAATTTGTTGGTTAACTCGGGAGATGTGGGACCCCGGATCTAGCAGGTATGATAAACCATCCTAAGGATGGCTTTGACTGATTTTTCAATCCCTGTAGTGCTATTAGGTTAGCGGAGCAGGTACATACATAGTTAGTTAGTTCCTCTTGCCTTCGACTGCTGTTAGGTTTTCCATATACGAGGATGGTAACTTTACTTTTGGCTCAGAATTGGATCTTAATAATATCGTTTGCGGTAAATCAAGCTAGTGAATTTTCATATCACATTTACAATCACCGCATAAGAAACGTTTTCTATAAAGGCTCGAGTTCTTCACTAGATAATAACTCTGTTTTCGACATTTACGTATTTAGCTTTTTGTCTAAAGCAAATTTTCTTTTGGAACGCATGAAATACAAAACCCGTCCCTTTTAACCTCCCTTTTTTGTTTTAGGCACATTGCAAGAGCACAAAAAGCCAATACTACATAAACGGTACTTTACCGAAGAAACTTTATAAATAAATTAACTTTATAAATTAATCTTCCGAAGTAACTTTATAAATTCAGCTATAAATTAATTTTATTTTTAATTAAATTTTAATATTCTATAGATATTTTTGGCTAGGCTTAGCGATAATAGAATGCTCTACCAATTGAGCACAAATCCTGATAGTCATATAACAGCAACTCCCTTACAATGCAAAATTTAAAAAGAAAACTAACAATGTAACAAAAAGGTTTTGATAATACAATCAAAACTTCTCCTACAAAACTAATGTACATTATTGAAAATCATTTGGGATGTTCATGTTAGAATAACACTTCGCAGCAGAATGAAAATGCAGTTCTAAACATGCGAAATCACAGCTGATGCAGCATAGTGACGTCAAATAACTTCTTGTTAACTACCGGTGCGATGATCGCTTCGGCAAGGAAAAACTAGCCCTTCTCCTTAACCCTGAATTAACCAGCCATTCCGTCCTCGAAGCTAGAGCAATTTTTGCATTGTTCCATGTTCAACACACTTAAAGTCTTTTTCAGACCGGGGCAGTCATCCGCAACTCGGCTAATCGGAAACCAACGGTTTGAAAAACTCATGACGTAAAGACGAAGCAGTTAATCAAGCGGAAGGCCCGTTACGAAGTGTCAAGGAAGAAAAAGGAGAACAAAACAATAAAAAAATAGCAGGCTGATGTGATAAATGAGCGTTCCTCAAATATTTACCCAGAGAAGCTAAACTGTAGCGGGAAGGGCCCAAAGACCTACCAAAATTGGAAAGCGGGCCACGGGTCTGTGTCCGGGTGAGGCACCGCCCCAGGAAGAAGAATACCGGAACGAGCGACCCTTTTTCACTCGGCATAGGTGGGGCCTCACTCATCGGTATGCTCGCCTTAGTGCAAGAACAAGGTCAGCCGAAGAAACACGGCCTCGCATCTCGACGTGCGGGCAAGGTCACGGTTCGCAGGTAGTGAAGAACGTGATGCTGCGCTGCTTCCCCATCAACTCTTCCAAGATAAGAGAAATTATCTTTTGTGATATAGCACGTACTCGGAAGTGAATTGGTAAAGTAAATACCCCGCCAGAAGATCTCTTCAGATTTATTGCATTTTATACACACAGTGTTCACAGAAATTCCTTATATGGCTTCTATCTTCGCGACTGTTAAACGTAGACAGTAATTTCCGATTACGGAAGTGTTTTAAATGACGCAAGTACTCATGTTTTGGTATTTCTGAATTTTTTAAAAAAATTAGCCTTTGGAATTACGAAACCTAACTTTTTACATGGTCCCCGGTCTTTATATGGGAAACGTTTACCCTCACTATAAAGAAGAAAATGTAAAACATTCGATTAGTGTACTGACCTGGATATTTAAACTTTCCATCTCATATTTAAAGGTCGTGAACTAAAATGCTTGCAACTGTGGGTAAACGTTTCTGATCTGAATAGATCAAAAGATAAGTACTGCCATGCCGATTGCTATAAAAAATACTGATCAATGTAAATCTATTTTCAAAAAGAAGATCTTATTCAAAGAATCTGAAAGAATTCGTGTTTTAAAAACAGTGGCAGGCACATAGCCAACTCGTAACATTATTTGCATAAATTAGAGATGAAACGCATTTCTAGGGTAATAAATTTTTTTTGCTTGATTACAATTCTAAGTAATTTAATAAAGTTTTTGCATGATTACGATTCTAAAGAAATAATAGTTCCATGAGATATGGTAAAAGTAGTTCCGTGAGAATATTTACTACGCATTTTCAGCATCTGTAAACTTTGAAGTGACTTGTGTGACGGACTTGATTTTTCGGAGTATCATATTAAAGAATGTTACTCACAACTAAAGCGCAAAAAAGTATTCTTGAGTGGCAATAAAGGGAGAAAAATTAATCCTGAACTATTCTAAATTCTGACGTCTTGAAGCAAGCCAAAACTGAGATCAAATTTTGAAATGAATAAATATCTTGGTTATTTTTATCGTATGAGAGCCCAATGGCTTGTGTTCTACTTTTCGAAATGAGCAAAAAATTTAGTAAATATAGCAAAAAGAGCCAAAAGTCTACATAAAAAAGTTAAAATTAATATAATTTATAAAATTAATTTTTTAAATTCAAAAATGTTGAAACATAAGGATTTGCATCATTTGAATTTTTTTTTTAAATTGAAGGTACATATTTGCACCAATGACTGTGAACATAAAGGCTACGTAAGAACTTCTGAGGATGGTGGACACATATGTAAGATATTAAAAAAAAATGTTCAGATAAAATGCTAACTTTAATTTTAAAAACTATCTTAGTTCTCATTTTTAGTTTGGTTAATTTCGTTCTTTTCCTGCTATAAGTAGTAACTGTTTATAATAAATCTCTCCAAAATGCGTCATTTCAAAACTAATCAATCTCCCATGGTTCCTGCATAATGCTAATGACGCAGGCACTTGCATAATGATTCAACTAATCGTAATAATCAAATTTCCGAAATGAAACGTACATTAACCAATCAAAATGAAGCTGAACCCAAACTAAACCAGTAGTTTTCAGATCATCGTGTATCGTTCTTCGGATGCGTGTTTCCAAAGAAATAAAATGCAAATGTCTCTTACGATTGCATCTTCACCTTCATGAACCCGTTATCATCTTGTAGATGTTAACGATGAAAGTCGATTCATGAAGAATAAGATGCAGTACTATCCAGTTCAATATATTTTTTATTATATAAAAGCATTTTTATGCAGACGCCGCTAAATTCTCCCAGATGGCGTGCCGGTTCTTGAATAGTTAGTTACATTGTAACTTCTTGTATTTTTGTAATACATGTGAATTAAAAAAGGGCGGGCAATGAGCCAGCAAAATGGAGAAGCAAAGAAGATAGTGCCAGATTATACTATATCAAAGTATAGGTTAAGAATGATTCGGATTAGTTTGGCATTTTCTCTAAATCCTATTAGTTACAGTTCAGAAATGTTAATATTATTATTGTTTGAAACATTATGTAAATACTTGTGTCATTAGAGTTGCATGAAAGTATTATCTTTGAAATGACGCATTTCAAGGAGATTCCTTATAATGCATGTACTATGTTTAGGATAGAAAGAAAAAATAACCAAATAAAAATGGGATTTTTGCAAACTAAAGTAAAAATTGAATTTTTCATATTATTTATCTACACATATACACAAAATTATACATAAAGTGAGTACATTTTTTAATTATCTTTTCGGAGCAGCCACAACAGTATACTTCACAGTCAAAAGAAAAAGAAAAAAAGTAAAAAAAAAAAAAGACAGCGCATTATATTTAGAGAACAAACCCGTTAAAATGTTTAAAATAAGCAAAGTAGGGTGTTACATTTCTCGTAACATCTCTTCAAGGAATCGGTGTCACGACTTAATTTAACAGGTACAGGTAGAAGCTAAGCCAGCACCTCCGTAGTGAGACAGGTAATTGAGGTATTGCTGAACCTAGCTAACTCTTAAACTTTTCACCCAAATTTTGAGAGGGAACACCACAAGGGGAGGTCCGAGGATCTCCTGCCCCTCTTTTTTACCATCAACCCCTTGAGAGGACTTTCTGAGATAACTGATTTCTGGTATTAATAGTGTACACAAATCATACTGAGAAAAGATTGTCCATGAAAAGTTTAACAACTGATGCTTCCCAAAAGTCTAAATGCAAGAATAAATGTCCTTTCTAAGGCGGAAGGTGTATTAAGCAAGTCTTTGGACATCCCGTCCATCAGCATTGCATAGAAAAATGAAATTATTGGAACAATAAATTAAAAAAAATTTAAATAAATATATTTTAGTAATATATGGATATGAATAAGCATTAGATATGATAAATATCCAGTCCGATCTTTGGATGTGTATAAGAACGTCTCTAATTTTGGCCTTAAGGTCTGTTCTTTATTGCGTATTTCTTAAATGGTATTAGATTATTGTTAGACTTAATCAGATGTTTACCGTCCGTTAGATTACAGTCAAAAATGTAATGATCATGGTCACCCCTTTTGCCACATATGCAGAGATTCGGTGGGCACATACCTCTGCCGCCATGGATGTAGGTGGGGAAAGGACCGTGCCCTGTGATATACTGATTCAGAACATGGTCATAGTGCAGTGTCTCTTTGTAAGTTCTTGGGATAAAATCGTAGACTCTTCTGCCTTGCACTGCAGAATCCCATTCTTCTTGCCACTTTGAGTCAACAATTGCATTCAGTGTAAATTTTATATGGGACTTTGGCCACGAGACATGAATCACCGAACTGTTGATGTTAGTCGATGCATCCTTTGCAAGGAGGTCAGCCACCTCGTTGCCGTTGTGGGCTTTTACCCAATTGAGGAGAAACTGGATTTCTGGGTGGGTGCTTATTGTATTTTGAATATCCTGAACCAGTTGGTTCTTATTGTTTCTGTCCTTCAGGGCATATAATGCAGATTGGCTGTCTGAATAGACTGCCATTGTTCTGAAATTATTTGATATGGCTTTATTTACTGCAGATTGAATTGCTGACAACTCAGCTTGATAAACAGAATTTTCTGGAGATAATTTTCTTTGCCATATTGTTGGAATAGAGGAAGATGAATAGATTATTGACGCTGCGCTCACTTCTCCATGAATTTTAGAACCGTCTGTAAATGCTCTTGGACATTCTTGACTATTGATTGCTGATGCGTCCGTATTGATTATTAAACTATAATACTTTGCTGGATGGTAAGTCAATGGTATGGCTGGAGACTCATATTTTGAGGCATAAAAGGTGCTGCCGTTCAGGTAAGTATCTTCTTTCAACTGGAACACTTTGGCTTTTATTGAATCCTTCATCGCAATTAAATGAAGGGGAGGTATCCCAGTGAGAATGCATAGAGAGTAATTCGCTGTAGTTCTATAGGCTTTTCAGATGCTCAGGAGAAAAGGTCTCTGTATGGTGAAAAGTTTCCTTTTCTTCCTTTCTGTCATAGTCTCTGCCCAGATTGCAACCCCATAATTAACTATGCTCGATATTACTATTCTAAATAAAAATTTTTTAATGTGAGGACGAAGTCCCCAGTTACTGCCTTGCATTTTTTTTAAATTATTAGTGATTTGAATTGTTTTCTTCTGAGTCTCCGTGAGATGATACATAAAATTAAGTTGGTTATCTATGTGTATACTTAGAGACTTCAGGACTAGGGTAATCTTAATTTTCTTTCCGTCCAGGATGAAGGTGGGCTTCCTTAAGAGCTTTTGGCTTGGTTTGTTAAAAAGTATAGCCTTGGACTTCTCTTGCGAAATGCAGAGTTTTAACCTCTGGCATTCTATGTTAAGTTGTTTGAGAAAACCGTTCACATTCCTTTCAATGATGTCTCTAGCACTAACAATCTACCTTCCAAGCACCACTAAAAACCAGCGATGTGTCATCTACAAACGCTAAGATCTTCGTATGATTGGGGAATTCCTACTTTAAGACGTCACTAAAGGTGAGGGCCCAGATATCAGCGCTCAGGCAGGATACTCGAGGACATCTTCTAGTAAATTTTTTGCTGGTAAGCATGTTGTTATGAATGCATATACGTTCTCTATTATGAAAGTAATGTATAATGTTATCTGTTATGAAAGTAATGTACTTAATTTAACAAGACAGCAATGCTCCTAAGCTGCATTATAAGGTATTTCTTCCGCTTTCTTAGCATGCCTTCGTGGTATAATGGTCAGCACACTCGGCGCGTATTCGAGAGGTCCCAGGTTCGAGTCCTGGCTAGGGCATTGCACATTTTTCATTCTCTAGCCCAAAAAATAATAATATCTCTACAGTGGCTCCCGAACTACAAATGTGGTGGATGGTGATTCTCCACAACCAGGATTTAGCGATAGGGTCTTCTAATCCCCAGTTGCCCTTTAAAAGGGTGTTAGAAAGTATTTTCCCGCCTTCTTAGCATGCCATCATGGTGTAATGGTCAGCACGCTCGGCACGTTTTCGGAAGGTCCGAGGTTCGAGTCCCGGCAAAGCCACTGCCCATTTTTCATGTCTCCTGCTTGGAAACAACCTAATGTCTCTACAACTTGCGTGAAAATTCTTTTGGAGTATCCTGTTAAATAATGTTACGCATTACTAAATTTATTCAATTTTTTTAGCCCTTCTGAGATAATGCTCCTTTGGGCTAAAACAAAATTTATTAAATAAAGCAGGGTGTTATATTTCTCGTAACATCTCTTCAAGGAACTGGTCTCACTACTTAGTTTAATAAGACAACAATGCTTCTAAGCTGCATAAAATCTATTTAACATTCTACCAAAAGACAAAAATTAAAGCCAACCTTGTTTTACAGCCTATGCAAATGAAGTAAATAATTATTCACTAATATAGTCCAACTCATGCATGGTTAAAAATGGAAGCATGAGGTAAAAAGCAAGACCAGATATGCAAAATAAATTTAAATAAATCCAATAAATTAAAATGCAACAACAAAACAAGAAATGGATGCAAAATAGGGATTCTAATCTCTATTTTACATCTATTTATTTTTTTTTCCTATTTGTTGTTGCATTTAATGATTAGACTTCAATAGACTTAAATCTGGTAGATAAATAGTGTTTATCTACCAGATCCTAGTAGATAAATAAATTTTACATCTATTTATTGATTCTTTTTCTATTCGTTTGTTGCATTTAATGATTAGGCTTAAACAAATTTAAATCTGGTACATTCATATACAGGCTTTGTAATGGGTGAGATAAAACTTCCGACTCATACATGATCAGCAGATCTGTTGAAACTTTCATGTTTCATGTACAGTTGTGCACAGTGGAGTAGTTAGAGGATGGCGGTGCGCCCCGGGCAGCATTTTTCAAATGAAATATATTATAGGGGTCAGCCATATGGATATTCGGAGAAGAAAAGCTAAGTAGATTTATTGCTTATAAAGTTCAGTACGGTTATCTGTGTAAGGAGTGGGAGAGATTCAGGAAGAACTAAATGTTTTCGTGAAGGGCCCGAAAATGGAAAGTGGCTTATATTCAAGCTACGAAAGGGGCAGTGGCTCATATTCATTTCAAGCATATACGAATGCAGGGTTATGTACCCTACTTTACACAGAAGGTAGACTAACTACATAAGGCAGCAAACCCACTACCTGGGATTTGCCCTCAGGTGGAACTATCAGTATTCAGTCATTTTATCCAATCTGTCATTAGTGAAGGAGAAGAATCACAAGATGCCGAATTCTTATATAAAACTGGATTGAGGAGAGAAATTAATTTTACATTGGACAGAGTATTCAAAGAAGTTACAAAGAAACTTCAATAGTTTCACTCTTTTGCGGTGCCCTCCGTACTCCACCGAAACTTTTGAATGCGAATTATAATTAAATTATGAACTTAATGATAGAAATAAGGAAGAAATCCTCTCTGGGAGAGAAATGCTTGCAGAGTTTTATTTCTGTTATCGCTTGGGAAGACGAAACCAAGAGGTAAAAGAGTAGTCGCTTTAAACTTTTGCAATTTATTCTACTGTAGGGTTTCCTTTAGTTTGCATAAGAAATTCTTTTAAGTTTGGTACCTTTCCTGAGCCTCTTATTTTCCCCTCGTATTTCCTTGCCAGGATGAAAATTTAAAGTCAAGTGAAGTGAATATAAAGTCAGAAGAATTGAGCAGTTTATTCAGAGTACGATTTCTCTAGCCAGTGCTAATTACTATTTTTGTTCTTGCTATTAAGCTGAGTTGCTGATATGCCTTTTGCCCATTTAATAAGTATATAACCTAGTAGGTTGATGAATCAGACTAGTTATTCTTAAATCAAATTGTTAGTCCAGCGCTACTCTTTGAATTTATTGTGAAATTACTATTAAGTTCCACCGCAAGCCTTTGGTGTTATTGTAAGCATGATGTACGTGCATTTGTGTTAAGAGTTTGACGAATAATAAAAAAGGTGTATTTTACTCTTCTTCTGTGATAGTATTATTCCCGCCTGTGCGAGAAATCTCCAGGTTTCTTAATAAGATCAGTTACCTTATGATAGCGAAGAGAACAAGATCTTACAACATCTTCAAACACAATCTTCAATCAATCTTCATAACGCAATCTTCAAAACGGAATTCCAAAAATTTTAATTCTGCTTCGAATTTTCCTCACACTTGCTGTACGTATTACTTGGTTCGAAAGGAGGTTTTTTAGCTACAAATTGGTGAACAAGTACCTAAGACATAAAAAGGAGTGTCTTGCTTATAACAATACTGTATTGTTTTGTAAAGAGCAACTGGAATAATGAAGCAATCTTTTAGAATGTTATTGATGATCGTTGATTTCTTGCTAATAAAAAAGCAAGAAAAATATCACTTTAAGTAACTGGAATTAAATTTTTTTTTTAAAAATTAAATTACAATACTTGTTTATTTCTCTACATACCGTTTTAACATTTTATAGATCTGACTTTTTGGCGTGTATTGAGAAGAGAGACTAAATGTCTAGATACATTACCGGTTGTGTACTAAACGTTCAAAATTCATTGTCCACCCCTCAATAAATCAGATTTTGTTTACACATGTCTCTGTAGAGAGTAACATGGTTGTACTTACATGTTTTCAACATATGACAGTTTTATGACGATCAAAGCAAAGATCACTGTTTACTTCCTGCGAATTAATTTATACTTTTTCGTTGCCCTACGTTGGCAACACGCTAGGGATTTGTCGTCGATAGAATTCGCTCTAGAATGTAGCTGATATATAACTGTTCTAATACTTATTTTAAAATTTAATTGTGTTATTGAATTATTACCAGATGTTTACGTTTGGATACTTCACTGTTATATGTTACAATTAGGTTTGTGTAAACTGAGACTAGTTGAATTTATTAAAGTTATTTCGAAGCAGAACTACTCTTTCGATTTCGGCGTCATTTGAATATAGGAACGTAAACAATATCAATCTGCTTCAACTCTGATTACTCGCATCGAAATTTTGGGGGTTACGAGGAGAATGGACTTCTGCACAGAGTTGGAAGTGATTTCAAACTTCGTTCAAAATTTCTACTCTAGTTCAAAATTTTGTTTATAGCCATTTTAAAGACAGTCTTTCACCCATTAGGATTTTATATTAATTAAACAGTTATTACGATATGAACCTTTATTTTAGCTTCTTTTTTCCGTAATCGTCCCCAGAATGTAAATTAGTTGTTGCGTAATAAAGCCGAGTGTTTGAATGTTAGAGTTTAAAGCAGCCTCGCTTTGCAGTTGCGTACTATAGCCAGCTCTGCTAAAGTGATTCTGGGTTTAGCACCTCGCTAGCCGACATTTAAAATACACGTCGTTAATTATCTTTAGCCAATAATACGTCGTCAATTATCTTTAGCCAATAATACGTCGTTAATTATCTTTAGCCAATAATACGTCGTTAATTATCGTCGTTAGCCAGCTTAAGTAGTCTATTTTGTGTGTGGTTTCTAACTACGTTACCCACATCTGAATTTAACTACATCTTATGTTATATTAAATACAAGCAAGTAGCGGAGGTTCGAGTTTAACACAAGCAGTACTTCTATTTAGTTAAGAGTTAAATAAAAAAAGTTATTTTAATCTTCTTAACGACTTAATCACTTGTTTCGGACTAAAGCGACAACTAGCTTTAGCTTTGCAGTTTGGTAAAGTCTTCAGGACAGTAAGTCAAGCTTCTAGACGGAGCAGAACTCTACATCTGCCGCATAACTCTGTCACGAACCATGTCGAAAGACAGCGCATTATTTAGCCCGGCTTCCCCAAGACTCCAAGTTCCTACGGCACCAGTAAGTCCTATGGAAGGATTCGACTTCATTGTGGACATTGTGTGTGCAGCAATGAAACCATCAAGTGG